GATACTCAATAAGTGAGGTGTCATACGAAAGCACAGGTTCTTCCCCATATTCCCCACAGGGCCGGCCCACCCCAAAAATTGTAAAAATATCTTGCTTAGACTAGAATCTAGATCTAGTCTACTCTCAAAGATACACTCATAAAAAACAACCGCACAGATAAACTAGAGAAAGGCCAAGGTGGTGTCATAAGTTGACTCTTTTGTTTTCGGCATATAAAAGTACTAATGACTGCTTTAATATTCGAGAAATAGTTGTTTTTATACGCTCTCGGGAAGGTTACATTGGGCTATTGCCCTCGGCACGCCTCGGGCAATAGCACAATTCTAACCTTCCCTTGAGCGTATAAAAACAACTATTTCTCTCAAAGCAGTCATTAATACTATACCATTACCCTCGTAGTCGATTAATATTTGCTTAATATATAGACTGCTTTGAGAGGCTTTGCTGTTTTATATGCTCAAGGGAACGCGCGCACCTCCTGCCATGACCCCGAGGCGCGAGGGTTCATGGCTGGACGTGCTAGTTCCCGAGAATTATTGAATAAAGATTGGTTAAAACATCACGGAAAATCTGAGACACTGCCTATAATCTTTGCTTGAAAAGTGACTGAAATTTTCGATCATTTGGGAATCGCAGACAAAAAGCACTGCATGGTGTCCGCACTCGCGCCAAAAAAACATTTTAACACATAAACCAATGGGTATCGCAGCAAATTTTTACTATTTTCATGGTAACCAGAATTTTGAGGGATGTCACTCTTGGACTCTTAACCGGTATTGGGATTTTTCGTTTCTTTACGGGAATGGCTAAAATCACGACTCCAATGTCGACCAATCAGATGGCTGGATTCGGAAGTGAGGTATATAACACTTTATAGTCATGCAGTCTCTAAAATGTTATTTCCTCATCTAAATACTCTATGTAGTATAAATTGGGCAGTTGGGTTCCTGGTAGCCTACTTTGCTTTCATAAATTAAGTTGACGTTACTCCAAAATATATTCGAATAACTAAAACTCTTGCACTGCAGTTGAACAACGCTGTAGCCTACTATAGATATGGTCAAAATTTGAGGGGGCAGATTGACCAGGTCGGTAGGGGAGACAACCCTTGCCTATAGATTGGGAAAATTGTGCAGGTTTAAAGCGAAAAAGACACACATGCACATAAGTATTCTTTCTAAGTCTAGTGTCTCTTTGCCGTATGTCTTATATCTTTCACTCCTAGCTATATCCATATGTCCTTTCCTTCTCTGCTGCCACATCAAACAAATTTATTTTAAGACTAATCATGTTATCTTCTAATTTACAAAATGGAATAATTTTTGAAGAGCGAATTCGAGCAGTCTATCTCCTTATATATAAACTCATGTTCTTTTTCCTTTTCCTTTATCTATCCCCTCGCTCTCACATTTTTTTGTTTTGCCATTTGATAGCCCTCCCTCCCACCCGTAAATATACGCCACTGCGTTGATATTGCTCGAGCTGCTAAATAGGCATAATAATTGAAAGCTCAAACGATAACTTACCTGTTTGACGCTTGAGTGTAATTTTATGATGGAGTAGAGGGAAGAGATTAATTGAGAGCCAGTATTTTTTTTGTTTTTTCTGAATATTTTTGTTTTGTTTTTTGTTGTTGAATAATGTAAATTTTCCGTTGCCAATTTTGTCACTCAGTACGCAATTCTGTTTCTGTCTTCATATAATATAATTAGAGGAGAGAGTTTTCGGCCGGGTGGCAATTTTCGGCGGGTCCGTTGTATGCATGGTAAAATCACTTTAAAATACACTGCATATAGCATAATAGCATACCGGGTATCACATATCACACACATACAATACATATCAGAGTCACAGGAGAACCACATTTGCAATGGAAAATGTGTAAAATGTATCCTTAATTATTACATTTTAGCGATGTAATCGGCAGTCCCGCTACCTGAATTAAAAAAAATCGAATATATTACGCGTGTCTGTAAGGTAGATGGGTACCAAAACCTGAGCTGTATTTCAAGTATTGTTCATATTTAGATCGCGATTTTTCAACTGCCTTTGCTTTAGCCAAAACTACCTCCGAAACAGGAAATATGAAATTGAATATTGCCATGGCAATTCATGATTTTTATTCTGAGATTATTTTTGTGTTTAAATAATAATAATATTAGCTTCATGATTTGAACAAGAAATGAAAATAAATAGGAAGTAAAGAAAAAAATGGAGGAAAAAAGAAATCATGAAATGAATAAAAAAATCCGCCCGCCCGCCCCTACTCCAGAAAAGCAATCGAGGACAACCAAATGATTTATTTATTTTTTTATTTTTTTTTGGGGGGGGGGGAGGGCCTAACCGTTGTGATTCATGTTTGTAAGTCTAGAATCAAAAAATCGCTTGAACGCACCCTTTACATGTCGGTGTTTTTTTCTGTTGATGGTAATTGAACAAAATTTTGATTTTCTCACATGAGTATCAAACAAATGTTCATGCTACAACAGAGGCAGCGCCCCCGGGGTAGGGGGCAGGGGGCACAGTCCCCCCTCCCCCACAAGATTTTAAAGTATCACCCAAATTTCCTCTTTTTACCTAAGAAACGTTCCCCTTTTTACAAAGGAAAATGATCCTTTTACATAGGAAGAGTGCCCCTTTTATTCTGCCTAGTACCTCTATTACTTTGTAAAAGTGCCCCTTCTCCTTTTCACCTCTGATAAGTGCCCCTTTTATGTTGACACGTGCCACTTTTCCTTCGACAAGTTCCCATTTTCCTTTGCAATAAGGGCCAAAATTCCATTCTCATAGGTGCCCTTTTTAATCTCTAGTAAATGCCCCCTTTTCAGGTACGCGAAGTGCGCCTTCTCACGTTTTACTTTGATAAGCACCCATTCCCTTCCTGATAAGCGCTCTTTTCATATCAGATAACTGACCCTTTTTAACTTTAATTGCCCCTTTTATTTTGAGACTTGCCCCTTTTCCTTTCTAATGAATGCTAATTTTCCTTTTCATAATTATCCCTTTTCATGTCTGATAAGTGCCCCGTTTATTTCAATATATGCCTCTTTTTCTTTTTGATACAAGCCACTTTCCCCTTCTCATAAATGCCCCTATTAAAATCTGATCGGTGCCCCTTTTACCTCTGATAATTTCCCTTTTGACAATGATACGTGCCTTTTTTTCTTTTTAAGAACGGACCTATCCCTTTTTCATAGTTGCCCCTTTTCACCTCTGATAAATGCCTCTATCAAAATCCGATGGGTTCCCCTTTTCCGTCAAAAAATGCCCATTTGCCATTCTCATAAGTGCCTTTTTTCATCTTAAGAGAGTGCCTCTTCGGGTGTATGAAGCAGACGCGGATCCGGGATTTCTTAGGTGGGCCCAAATTTGAAATCATGCGAGTCAAATATTGGTACGTAATGGTGACCAGCAGAAGCGTAATAAACAAAAACGATTGTATTGGGGGGGGGGGGGGGGGGCAGAACAAAAATTCGCATCATCACCACCACTCTTAAATGCAGGCCCCGCTGAACGTTTTTCAAAGTTGGTGGGGTGAGACTAAAGTATTTACGATCAGGTAGAGCGTAGCGTAAATTGGCGTGGGGTCAAGGGGCGGAGCCCCCAAAAGCTCAGGTGTATGGGCATTAGATTACGGTCATATGAGCATATTTTGATACCTTATTTGTGACACTGGCATGTCACTAATTGGCGTGGGGTCAAGGGGGCGAAGTCCCCAGAAGCTCAGGAGTTTTAGGCATTAAATTACCGTCAGATGAGCATCCAGGGGCCCGCCTTGGTGCCCTAGGTGAGGTCCAGGAGGCAGAGCCCCCGGAAGCCCAGGGGTTTTAGGCATTTAATTACGGTCAGATAAGCATACTTTTGATAGCTAATTATTTTACGACAGTGGCAGGTCACTAATTAGCGTGGGGTCGAGGAGGCGGAGCCCCCGGAAGCTCAGGGGTTTTAGGCATTAAATTACGGTCAGATGAGCATCCAGGAGCCTGCATTAGGGACCTAGGTAGAATACAGGGGGAAGAGCCCCCGGAAGCTCAGGGTTTATAGGCATTTTATAAATGTCACGGTCAGATGAGCATATTTTGATACCTCATTATTTTGCGACACTGGCAAGTCACTGTACTTTCTTTCTTTCTCTCGTTCTTTTTTATTTCTTTTTAATATACTTTTTTTTTAAATATTGGGGCCCCTAGCCCCGTTGTTTTGCAGGCCCTAACATAAATTCCTCTAAATAAGCATATATATCTCTTGCCCGACTGTAAAATTGGGAATTTGTAAAAAAAAAAAAAAAAAAAAAAAGTACAATTTACTAAAAAATGAGGAAGAATCTTAGAAAATTATGTCATTTCAGCCTTGGAAATTACTTGTATCGAATTAGAAATAAACCACATTTAAATTTCATTTGGGAGGGCCACTACCCCCCCCCCCCCCCTCTCCCCCTCCCCATCAGTACGCCAGTGGTCACCGAATCGGGCGCTTGGTCTCGTTGGTGGGGAGGGGGAGGGGCGCAAACGCATATCCCGCCCTGTCATATCGAAACATAACACCCACTGACCCACATCTTGTTCAGAGCGTTGGAAGGGGTGGGCTTTCACCAAGCTTTCACACCCGACGGAAGAACATTCTGAGATTTGTAAGTCCATACAGAGCATTATAATGGCTAAAGTTTCTTAATTTCGAAAGAAAATGTATATTTATACATGTTCCTGCGTGTCGTGTCGAGGGGCTCCTTCTTCATGTTTTGTTCGGTAATAAATAAAGTTAGTTTATATGGGTTATGTACGCTCACTACCTCGAAACCCGCCCTAAACACTGAGTTTTGTGAATCCTTATCATCATACGTCGGCTCTTACAGGAGCCGTAAGTGTTCATTATTCCTCGGCGATCATATCAAATAGTTATGTATCTGAGATGGCCAGATACTGTAAATCAATATAACTATTTTCAATACCACCAACAAGTCATTGTGACTGTCGTACGTGAAATAATATAGATGTAGGGCTCGGTAGAAAAGTAGACTTTATTGACCTTTAATAGGATAACTTTATGATTACAAGTTGTGTTCAGAACTTCAGAACCAGAGTGAAAAGACTTGTTGTTTACAATATCACTTTTACAAATGTATACGTAGCAGGTTCTTTGGAACAAACATGCCAAGAAAGACAACAGGTAGTTTTTGTACGATTGAAGTTATATAGGCGGATACTCCACCCGCTCATACAAAATAGCGTGCAAAGAGCAGCAACATGAAAATGGAAAGACATCTTAGGCCTGGGCGTGAGACACCTACTTGCGTTTCGTGAGAGGCTGAAGTATCCGGGCCAGCTATTAATACTTTTTTATTGAGTAAGTTTTGAGGCAGAACAAAAACGAGTACTCACTCTCCAATCGTATTGGTTATTGGGGAATTTGGAATGTCTGTCATCAATATGCTTTTTCCTTTGAACACAATAATTCTTTTGCCACTCAATCCAGGCCTAACTAAATATATACTTTTTCGCAAGGCAACAGACAAGTTATTTTGTCATATAACTGATTAACAATTGAGGATTTCCCTACACTAGTGTCTGGCCATGCATGTCCCATGTTTCATCAGTTTTCGAAAGGTTGTGGTCGACATGATTAAAAACAAAATTGGTTGGCTTGCACATAATACATCTGTATTGCTGTATAAAAGGTTAAACAAAAAATAAAGAGTATTCGACAAGGCGTTTCAACCAAAAATTGCACCTGAAATTGCATCATGTTCATTACAAGTTCCAAACGCTTTCTTGCATACAAATACACAAAAAAGGTTCCAAAAGCATACTATTTCACAAGATGTAATAAAACAATATGAATAATTATAATGAAACAGTAACATACAAATACATGATCATTTTTGCGTTTCTTTCAGCCTGCGAAATAGTTTTCATCTGCATTTTATTTTGTTGCTGTTAGGAGTTGTTATTAGAGTTGTGCTGTCCAACTGATCATCACTTAGGTACAGGCTTGCTTGTGTGAAATACAAATTTCTACCCGAACTACACTGAGCACTGCAGAATACAGGACTCGTGATATGGAGCGATGTTTTTCACAGTGAAATCATTAGTGGACAGTTCTTTGGAAATGTCATGTAGGAAATTTGAAAATCACAAAAACACGCCAACCAGAAGCCTAAAATTATCAAAACGTTAAGTTATTACATAATTGTGGGAAGGATTTGTAATATTTATACTCATATTCAAGGGTGAATATTCACAATATATTTGGTATAAATTGCACTATTTGAAATGGTGCCGTTAACTGTATTCGTGTCATGTAAACTGAAAGTAAACACAGCAAAATGTAGAAATAAAAGGAAGGGTAATTTTCCTAACACTTTGTTCAGAGCCTTAACTTTATACATCTTAAGAATTATTCCTACCTAAATAAACAATCATATTGCAAAGATGTGCATACATTTGCATAACTAAGTATAAACATCAAAAGGTTCCCAATATCGCATCTTCGACTTTACAATTTTAAATTTCATTCAAATTTGCCGATCTAACATGAATGTAACATTTTTAAAGTTCTTGTGCTTTTATTTCATGTAATAATATTACATTTCAGCAATACAACATGTACAAATTAAAAGTTTGTTTTAATGTGTATATATACAATATAATAATCATAAAGTTTGACATTAAAACAAATTTAACTGATAACACAATACCAATAATTATTCATTAAGAAAGTTGCATGGGCTATTACAATGTATTACAATAAGCGATTGCTTGATAGCGTGATAACCCGGGGGAAAGGGAAGGGGGATAACAAATTAAAGCAAAAACAGGTGATGGTGATGATGTTGATGACGGTGATGGTGTTGATGATAATGATGATGGTGAAACTGAAAATGAAAATATGCAGATATAAACAATTTGTCTGACACAGAAAAATTAGTTCAAAGAGGATAATATTTTTAAATAATGCGAGACACCGGGTTGTGCTCGGTTACTTATCATGGTTTAGTACTTGTCTGTTCTCTGCAGGGGGGGATTTTATTTTGTAGTTTTCGTAATGCAATAAACGTTACCAACCCGACATCCATTATGGAGCGCAGTTGGTGTAGCGCCTAATAATAACACTACTAATAATGTAAACTTATAAAGCACACACATCCATTCTAAAAGACAGCTCAAGGCGCTTTGCACAATATCAAAATAAATGAACGATGTTAAAACTTTGACATAATTATACAATATTAAAACTACGACATAATTATACAATGTTAAAACTACTGTAATGGTAAAGTGTTCCATAATTTTGGTGCAATATTAGGAAAACAGATTACGAATTACCTGATTAACACATTTTATTTCTGAATTGCCAATGATGATCTTTTGTGTCTACCCTAATTATCCCTCTAGATTGGGCTACATACTACGACATGAATATTTCTTTTGTATGGAAGAGGGAGTGTTGGATTAATTTGAAGGATATAGGAATTTGTCATCACCCATTAATAGCACCATTTTCTTGTTATAAGGCCGGTAGAAATCGTCCAAAATTTTCTTCGTTTGAGGCAAAAGTTTACGCTTATTTATACTTTTATTTTTTCGAGCTTCTTGAAGGATTTTTTCCTCTTCTTTCTCACTGAGTTGTTCTGTAAATAAAGAAAACAAAACAAACATAATTACATTGGCTAGAAATATCGCTATGATAGTGTATAAACTCCTAATACGAAAAGTTTGGAAACTCGAGTTGGGTCGATTATACCCCACATATAGCATAATCATCGCTTTGCTTATTATCATTAGAAAGTGTCTTTATTTTCCTTTAAAAAGATACCATATCTGTTATGAGTTTGCAGACATGGAGTAGCAGTATATCGGATTAACTAAGGGCGCAGGTTTATAGGTGGAAAGTTGTAAAATAAACATTTTTTATCGTTATGTAGAGCACTCTTCTTTCTGTGAAATAAGATAGTATAATATTTAGAAATTACAGTGGGGCTATTGTTCCGAGCTGGTCGTTGATATTTTATTAATGCCAAATTTTAAAGAATCTGAGATTGAAATTGCTAAGGTGACATATCAGGCAAGATTTCAAACTGTTTGGCCATCTAAAGCATCATGCCTTGCACTGGCGTACTGATGTAGTAGGGACTTAAGGGCGGTGCAAAAGATCCTGGCGCTCCCGATTATTACCCATGATTTAGCATGGCTGCCATTACGGCGCCCCCAAAACAAAGCATCAAGGGACAAAAATTCGACACAATTCGTTATCGTCCTAAATTATAGAATCAACCCATAAAATAGTTTTTTTGACTTACCCAAGTCAAGGAAATTGAAAAGTTGTCTGTGAACACGAAGAGGATCTGCTTGCCAATCCTCTAATCGGATGACGAGTACGCCATCACGTGAGAAGGCGTTCATCCAATCACGAGCGTACACGTAATAGAGTCCCGCTTGGAGTTCGGGTATCAGCTTATACGGCTGAAAAATAGAATATAGCAAATTTTGTTTGTGAGATCCAGGAGGCAATAAAGAAGAAAAAAAAATTGTGCAGCACCCGTTTGGAAATAACGATAATGATACCAGGGCCATGTCTATATGAAGGTTCGTTCAAATATGACGCGGCAAAACTGCAGCGTTTTATTTTATGATGACAGAAAGTGTAATGCGCTTCACATTTCTGAATCTTAGAGGCTGTTCACACCGGCAGCGATAGCGCGCGCTAGACCGCGTTATCTCTACGGTGTGGAAGGTATAACGTCGTTTCGGTCCGCCCAACAGCGAGCAACGGCGAGCCAAAACGGCGTGCCACTGGAGCACCTCTTGGGGGTGTTCCACGAGAGATAGCGCGATCTAGCGCGCGCTAGAAAAAAGGGGGTGCTGCGATAGACCGCGCTATCTCATTGCGGTGTGAACAGCCTCTTATACCACAGAGCTCACGCTAGTGCTTCTTTTTGCGCAGTTGCTATTCATTTACACATATAACAACTGCGGCGTTTTTAAATATTTTTTTAAGGCGGCTTACCGTGCCATTTCTGAACAAAATTTACACAATCGGAACTTCCTTCGAAAAATCAACGTGGGGCAATTTCAATACCATATTGTGTATCATATAGAAACCATGTTCGGATCACGCAGTACGTCATTTTTATGTTCACACCTTTCAATAGGCGATAGACAAGGCTATTGCTATTATTATTTCTTTCTTGCAACCAAAACTTGAAGTTGGAATTCAAATAAATAAATATGCAAACAAATACAATATAAGAATGGTAGAAATAATGTACGCAAAGTCAAAGAAACTGTCGAGTCTGATACATAAGAAATAACAATGTGGTCCAATGAAATTATTACACATTAAAAGATAAATGAAAGTGAGCGCATGAGTACAATTTTTCATAATGATTATATACAAATTCAAGCATCATGCTTTGCAGTTGGGTGTGATGGTCTGAACATTTATTTGGGAGAAACTGCTCTTAGTCGCTTGAAATTAGGGGCGCGTTTAATGATGTGAGGAAAAGGGGACACTTTTCAGAAAAGAAAAGGGGCATGTGTCAAAGTACAAAGAGTAATTATCAGAGGTGAAAATGGGGCACTTCTTACACCTCGAAAAGAGGCACTCACCAGGGATGACAAAAGTCAGTCATGAGAATAGAAAATGGGCATTTGTCGACGGAAAAGGGGCCCCTGTCAGATTTTGATAGGGGCATTTATAAGAGGTAAAAAGGAGCATTTATGAATAGGGGATAGGTCCCTTATTAGAACGGAAAAGGGGAACGTATCATTGTTAAAAGGTAGAGTCAGAGGTGAAAAGACGCATTTATCATTGAGAAAAGGGGTATTATTAAAAAGAAAAAGAGGCACATGTGAAAATATAAGGTGCGCTTATCCGAGTTAAAATGGGGATAGTTATTAAAAGGGGAAGGGGCACTTGTCAAAGTAAGAGAGGCACCTCTCAGATTTGAATAGGGCAATTTTCAGAGGTGAAGGGGGCATTTATCAAAAGTAAAATGAGGCACTTCTCGTACCTGCAAAGGGGCACTTACTAGAGATTAAAAAGCGCACTTACAAGAATAGAAAATGGACACTTATTGCAAAGGAAAATGGGAACTTGTCGACTTAAAAGGGTCACGTGTCCAAATAAAAGGGGCACTTATCAGAGTTGAAAGGGGAAGGGACACTTTTCCAAAATTAATAGGGTCACTTGTCAAGTAATAGGGGCACTTGTCAAAGTAAAATGGGCACTTTTCCTATGTAAAGAGGGGCACTTTTGGGATGCTTGAAAAAGTGGTGGGCATTGTGCTCCCTTCTTCCCGTGAGGGCCGCCTCTGCTTGTAGTCAGTCAATGGTATTAGACTGCTCATTACTCTTTAAGATTATATCATCTTTCATGTCATCCACATACATTTTATTTTGTGATGGCCGATGACGTCCTGAAGAGGATCAGCATACAGACTAAAGACTAAAGGTCCGATAAAAGAACCATGAGGTACCCCATAACAAGTGTAGTAAGTATGCGATTGTTATTCCCCAATGATTACAGTGTCTCCTGTTCTGGAAGTATGATTGGAACCACTTCAAAGCATTGTTGCAGATTCCATAGCGCCTTTGTAGACGAGAGATTTGGTGTCTTATGATGGATGGTGTCGAATGCTGACGAACAATCCAACAGTAGTAAAACAGCTTCATCCCCTCTGTCAAGAGCCAGCAGTGTTTCATTAAGAGCCAGCAGTGTTTCATTAACAACTCGGAGAATAGCAGACTCGCAATAATGACAATAAGAATAACCCCGGGGTTGACTTTATTGGTTCACCCGCCATTATAAGATAAAGAAATTGTTTTTCCTTGGTTATAGGTTGACATCATGTTTAAAAAAGAAAATCACATCACAAGTTACAATAACAACTTTCTCAGACTTTTAGAAAATTCGAAAGTCCGGAAGGAGCAGTCAGTACTATCAAAATAATTGTCGGTATGCCTCCTTGAAATGTAATAGTGAGCCTACTACATGCATATTTCAGAAGTAGGCATGGTATTAGGGAGAATAGTTGATTCAATTGCTCTATAACAGTCGAGATCCAAAATGATTTCGTTTTTCATAAATTCTTTTCAAGTCATTTATCATATATTATGTCTGTGGGTAAAACTAACATGTTGCAATGTGCTTTACATTTGTTAGGTATAATTATCTTCAAGGGGACCCTTACTCCGTTGCTGCTTCAGTTTGATAACACTCCAGCTCTGCATAGCTTTTACAAAAATTGACTCGTTTGTTGAATTATGTTTGGCGAACACGGGTCGGGAGGCGAATCGAAACAAAATCCCCTTTTCATATTGAGAGAGAAAGAGAGAGAGGGATAGAGGAGATGGAAATCTCGATTCTTGTTGTGTTTGATAGGAAGGCTTCTGCTGACCTTTTTGGGGTCCTGGGGGTGTTTCATAAAGCTGTTCGTAAAGTTACACATGACTTTACGAACGACTTGTATATGAAAAGCCAAATGGGATACTCAATCATTGTTAAATGCATCAACTAAAGTTTAATTGTGCCGAAGTAGATTAACATTCTTATTATAACAAACATTTTTAATGCAAAGTATATTTTTTGCCATAATTTAATTGAGGTTATTGGAAATATCAGGGAAAACTTTTGGCATCCGATCTGGCACTTCATATACAAGTCGTTCGCAAAGTCATGCGTAACTTTACGAACAGCTTTATGAAACACCTCCCTGAATTCATAGTCCAGGTTAAATTATTCCATGGAAAAGAAGAGGTAGTCAAGATCCCCAAAGCTGTTATACTTACGCAAGTTGATGCATATGCACAGTACCTGATGTTATGTTTCTTTATACAGTCCTTCAAACATCCGATTTGTTTTACGACGAAATTGTGAAATTGAGTGTCGTTATTACGGCGGTGCCCGCTATACCAATACCATGAGTTCGCCCTGAAAATGTATTACAGAAGAGGAAAAATAACAGGTCAATAATAAAGACAATATTACCACCATTAAGATATATGATACGTATCAAACTTTTAGAGGAAATCATCCCCAATTTTATATACATTAACACGGACTTTGTGTAGGCATTACTTTAACATTATTTATTGTTATGCCTTTAATGGTAAAAGATTACTGTATACACATTATTGTATACACATAAAGCCCTGTGTCTGCGAACCTAACATTTCACTTAAACATGACAAGGAATTTCGGTGGTATTCTACTTATGCTTGAACACAACTTCAATTATAGAAAGTGTGCCGAAAATGTTGTCACAATTTGAGCAAGAACGTGGATTGATCGTGACCAATGATCGTGGATTACTATAATAAGTGGGTATATTTTGAGTTGGTTGCCTTTTTTAATTTAGAAAAGAATTTCATTTAGAATCGTGCAGTTACAACTATGCGAGACAAGGGCGCTGCGCGGACATGGGCCTTCTACCCAAATAAGGACTATTAATCATAATCATAAAAAGTAGAGTCTGATCGATGAAGCCTTATCCCACAGTGGTAAAATTCATTATATATAGAGCTGATTAGCTTAAAGGCCCCATGACATCGAAATACAAGTGGATTCATTTTGGTGTGCAGTCCTGCATACATCTCATATTTTGATATGTAAACTTCTGAATTTGTTTCATAGATTTGTAAATATTTTTTTTAATATTTGTTTTTCAAACTTGCTAAGCTCCACCCCAAAAACCTCCAGATCTCATTTCAGAGAGCAAGACATTTTGTGTGTGAACAGATATACATCCTTAACTAGACTGGGCACTGCTCTTTAAACGCTCAGTAGGGTCATTGCGCATTTACGAGAAGCGAGTCACTAGGGACTTTTAGATTTGCACGTCGACAGCTTTGACTGCAACGTGCGACGTCATTTTAAGGCACTGCGCATGCGTCACGTCGTCTCAGTCGGCGATCGAGAATGCGTCAACCTTGATTTTCCTAAATCTAGTACATGCATACATACATACATATCGATATTTATATAGCGCCTTTACATAGACATGCCGCGTGCGCATAAAATATACAGTTCCTCAGGTAGACAAAGGAACATCCCTTCCCTGCTATTATGTACAAATGTGTAGAACAGGTGTCACATGCATATTCACCTGTTGTTCTACACATTTTTTATAATAGCAGTGAAGGGATGTTCTTTTGTCTACCACAGCAATTGTTGAGAGTAGAATGAGGAACTGTATATTTTGTCCTCTTTCTTTGTCCGTCATATGCATAGTGTTACTCCCTGCATGCATGTATATCGTCGAGTGCAATCTAAAAAAATTCTAACTGTAGTCAACATGGGCAGTTGAGTACGTTGACACGCATGATCAGTCGGCGTTCGTCGTGTTCTCGTCCACTCAATCTAAAAGTCCCTATTGCTCGTAATTCCGCAATGGCCCTACTGAGCGTTCAAAGAGAAGTGAATCTCGAACGACCGCACCACAATTTTCTGTGTGTAAATGATGTTGTATCTAAAGCTGATTAGTTTAAAGCTCTTTAAACTAATCAGCTTTAACCTTTTCGAATTATGGTTCTCCCGGGGTTACACCCTGGGGAACAGTCTTTCTCGAACTCGTGTTCATAGTCAATAATCTACATAAAAATCACTTAGTGGGTTGCTTACAAGAATCTATCGTGCAATATGGATCACTAATTTGTTCCTTTCTTCTCTCCCCTTCCTAAATGGAAAGAAGTTCAATAAGTGAGGCATACAACCTACTTGAATGTGACAGAAAAAAATAACTTACACTGTCACAAGCACCTCAACACGGAATGTCGTGCATATTGCATTTAGGTTTAGGTTGATCATCTGGCACACCTGATCTAGCATATAAATATTGGTGTGTACTGCAAGGTTGTGGAATCATCAAAATGATAAGAAGAAACAAAATGGCCCAGTCTTGGTAGAGTTACAAGCACTGTACACAGAAAGATGTGTATGGGACTACACGAACATGTGGCGTACAAATCCGTCCCGATTTTGATGATGTCACATGCCATATTTAGAATATTAAGGCATTTGAAGAACCATGCTTTTCAGGGAACATATTTTTTAACTAATGTTCTTCAACACTTGCATAATACAATGATAACGCTCACAAATTATTGTTCACCTCTTCCCAGAACTCAATCTTCTCTTTAACAAGAGCCCTTTTTCTTCTCATAAATGCCCTTTTCACCCTTAATTAATGCCCCTATGTAAACCTAGCGGGTGCCCCCATTTCCTTTGACATATGCCTCTGTTCTTATACTCATATTAAGTGCTTTTTCATATCTGGTGAGAATTCATTTACTGGGTTAGCTTTCTTTCTCGGTGTGTTCTCCTTTCTTTTCTCGTAAACGGTGTTTCATTGAATGGCTAGTCGAGGGTTAACTCATTATGATTAATTTTAATCGACAATCGTCTTGATTTTACCTGGGTTAAAGCCTGCCGCCCGGAAAGTGTGGTTTTGGAATTGATCGGGCAAATTTCATCCTCCTGCTAAACTACTTATTGAGGTTCTATTGTTAAGAATTCAACTTGTTTTTCAGACATTTGGGATTTTAATTGCATCATTGTTGTGTGTGGATAATATGGAAATTGAAGATGATATTCAGGGTTGTAATGCTGATGTCAAAGATAAGGCGGATGTCGATGATGAGTCTGACGACGAGTTGAGTTAAGATGAGACTGAGAGTTGAGTTTGACTATGAGCTTGTTGATTCAGATATTTGTAATAGTTGTAAGAGTAATTTGTGAGACTGTGAAGAGTTCGAGTTGTCGGCAGGAGACATAACAATGATGAGTTCCACAATGTGCAGACACTGGCACTGTCCCTTTGGCTTTAAGTCAAGCCAATGTTGATTGCCCATCATACAAAATATGTTAGCGTAGTTCATGGTAGGCACGAAGTCTTGACCTCTCGCATGAACTGTTTCCGACCCTCTTCATGACTTACATCGAGTGGACAGGTAATTACATTAGCATTCGTAATGTAGAAAATCTTGCCTTTAAGACGCACCAAGCAAAATGTTACAATATATATATAAATATAATTCATAATACATGTATAAATCAGCTATGCCCCAGTCATGATAGTATGCACATGTTTTATGACTTCGACTGCTCGGTGTAAAATTCTGAATTGAAAATAACTTGCCTTACTGTCGGATCCCTAACCATGAGGATAATCTTGGCATTGGGTTGTACAGCTCGGATGAGATCGGCGTTGGTAAACAAGGGCTCGGAAGCGTTCGGGTAAGTCTTCGTCCAACCCTGACCGATGGCGTAGGCTGTTGAGATCGACGCATCACCTGAATATTGAGAGAAACCAACATTACAAAAAAAAAACGTGAAACAGACAACAGATCGAGCGTCGATCGTTTTACGAAACCGTCATATAAGCATACAAGTTCCCCGGCATCCCATTGAAACTAATGTTGATTTTAACACTTCTCATAATGGTTGATAGACACTACATCCTGCACACGATTATGGTTAAATGACATGAACACACGCACACACACACACACACGCACACAAACACACGCATATATATATATAAATTGAACAGAGTTCCGGCGAGATGCAGTATTAAAATATTAGTAAAATATAGAGTTTACAACATACATATGATACGGACGAAAGGGGCATGTTTTTATAAACTTCTCAAGCGCTTTCAATTTATCTGATGTTAAGAAATCGAAAGCGCTTGTGAAGTTACAACCATACTCCTTTCGTGTTTATCCTTTGAAATGTTGTGAACTCTGTATTTCTACTACATCATATATATGCAACAATGGAAATACACACCTAAGTCGACTTCTGAACTCAGAAAAAATTAATGCAGAATACGACATAGTTTTGTATACTTGAATTTAAAATGGGCTTCTGTATGTAGCATTTGTACAACATCATTGCCAGTGCCAGTCATCTCACACAAACTGTTTTATCATTAGTATTACTACCAATATAATTTAAAAAATGTTATTAATACAATTGTCACATATGAATTACCATTATTGCACCTTTAATTAAATGTTTGAATCAATACTGTTGCTAGTGATTATTGAACAGTCACAGGCAAGCGCGTAGCCAGGATTATATTTTAGGGGGGCGGTCGTGAGCACGCAAAGCGTGCGAATCACTTACAGAGCGCGCGTAGCGCGCTCCCTAGGGGGTGGGTGCAGGGAGGGGGGAGTTTCCCCCTTCCCTCGCGAAGCGCGAAAGCTTTGACGTTTCATTAAATTATTAAAGAAAGAAGACGATTCGTTGTACCATTCTCGACTATTAATCATTGTTTCAATTCAGTATGCCCCCCTCCCACGCGAAGGGCGGAAGCTATGACGTTTCTTAAATTATTAGAGATAGAAGACGATTCGTTGTACTGTTCTCAACTCTTAATCCTTATCTGAATGCATTTTTCCCCCGCTCCTCCCGCGCGAAGCCTTGACGTTTCATTAAATTATTAGAGAAAGAAGACGATTCGTTGTACCGTTCTCGACTCTTAATCCTTTTTCTTCCTACGTACGTCCTCTTCCTTTCTTCTTTCTCTCTCTCTTTTTTTTTTTGGCTGGCGTTTTGGGGGGGGGGCGACCGCCCCCACCGCCCCCCCCCCCCTGGCTACGCGCCTGGTCACAGGGAGGATTTGTGGTTTTTAGAACAGCCACCATTGACGTTATGAATAGTGATATTCAAAGGCTGAAGAAAGGTTGAAACAGAAAGTAATTTGTCGGTATAACTCACAAGCCAATGCTCCCACCCCATCCTTCTTTCTCTCCTCTCTCACTCTTTCTCTTATTGGCTGTGTAACAAGGCAAAGATAGAAGTAGCAATTATGACGATATAATATTGCTGCATATTATGTATTTTATCCAAGAAAAAATATTAAATTAGGATCACCTACCAAAAACTTTCGGATGGTAAGGTATCCCCTGTCTCGTTGTAGCTGTAGTATTGATGAGTTTCGGAACTCCGGTAGACTTGTATAGATTTAGATAGAATTCTAGAGAGCTGTCATCCACACCTCCTGTTATCTTACGAGCTTTCAACACTGCAAACAGAAACAAAAAACAAAAGAAAATTACACCCTACATCAATGAGCAAGTCCAAGCTATATATTTATATGTAGACTGAATATGAAGTTTTATACAACACCTACGTGGATCCTTGTCATTTGATTGGAGGATTGTTGGTCACATGATATTCAATAGATGTTACATTGCACGACCGTGCATTTTTGGTTATATGCAGAGTGCAATTTTGGTTATATGCAGAATGCGTACCTCTCTGCAGTGCGCGTATCCCTGTGTGTATCTGACGCGAAGGCAATCTGAATGTATGTACTCGAGAAGGCTTGACTCCAACTTTAATAAATATAAGGAGTAAAGCATAATCTGTTGATTAACGTTCTATTAAATCTTCTTTGATGTTGTATAAAACCAATAATGAATGTTTTTCATTCGTTCAATAGTGCAAATATTTTCATTGGTTGAAAGATTAACGTTTATTCTATTCAACTCGGCTGACGCCTCGTTGAATAGAATGTTAATCTTTCAACTCATGAAAATATTCGCACTATTGAACTCATAACCATTCATTATTTGTATAATATAAAATAGGCAGTAGCATACGCAGGATTTTTTTCAAGGGGGTGTTTGAAAATGGGGGGGGAGGGGGTAGTGTGAACAATTTTTTCCCCTTTTTTTGAGGGGGGGGGGTTAACCCCCAAAACACCTCCCACCCCCTGCGTATGCGCCTGAAAATATGGTACTTTTTGTCAGCGAGTACCTTATTAGCCGAGAAGCTTTCAAATGACTCAATATTTTTTGATATGTGGACGTGATGTTCAACTTTATGTTTTCGGTAAAATGCCTACAAATGAATGCGCACCTCTCTTCCCTGCGCGTACCCATTGCATGCTCTATCGTAGCTACGCGCATCTGACGAATGTTCTTTTTGTAAAATGGTATATTCGACTCCAAGTTAAGAATTCCCCTTGTACGTGCCATTATATTTCATCCTAAGCCTACGGCCTCGGTGAAGCACATGTATGATATCTCAACTGTTATTACTCTTATATGATTGTTTGTAAAAATGCGATTATGAATGATCAATAAAACATGAATACAAAAAAACTTTTACAAAACTATGATATCGCTCGGGAAATTCTGAATTTGCCGAATCATGTATATTGTTATATACAAGACTGGGAGACTTGTATAAGAATAAAATGTTCTTGCAGATATAGAGTTGGATTACGATAATCGTAATTAGCACATTTCACTCCAAGTAATTTTTCATGTTATTGACCACCTAAATGAGTATATTTTTAGTCATACCGCTTCCAAGCAATGGCGCACTAGCATGTACTCTTTTTTGTTTGTATCGCCTTACCCGCGCGATTTATTCAGAAGACTTGGCGGCTTTGATAAAAGGGCATGAGATCGCAATTTCCTTCCATTTCGTACAACATTAAGTGTAATCAAGGCTCTCAAATAAGGCAGATATTAACTGGATGGGCGGGTAATATACAATTTTGGACGGCAAGGGAGATATATTTTCCCTCATGATCCTAGGCCTACCCTTTGAAAAAATAGAACTCCTTTCGGCAGTCCAAACATGAAATAAACACAGCCTGTCATTCAATATGTATATAATATGTGCGCGAGTGTGCGATTTAACACCTTATTCGCAATGTAAAACGCGTACAAAAGTAAATAGAATTTCGCCATTCTATCTTCCGTGCGCGTACCCACTGTTGTGTGCATCTGACTCGAAGGCAAGAAATCGGGAGGGCCTGAATCCAAAGGAGCAATTAATGAAATCACAAATACTTTAAAGTTTTTATAGGCCTGATAGATATTGCATGCATTTTCCCCTCGTACCATTCTATTTCAACCTCGGCCTGGGGCCTCGGTGAAATATAACATCACATGGGAAATTCCGAATTAGTCGGTCGTTATACTGAACCCCGGCGCAAGCATTATTTCTATAATATTTAATGTCAAGTTATCTTCGTTACTCCACAAAACTTGATAACCTACGGAACATTCGTTAATTAATAATCCATAATACATAACCATGTGCATTAATGTTACATTTACATATGATTCAGTTATATTGGAACATTTCTTCCAATACAGTGCATGACAATTGACATGACTTACAAAGGTAATAGACTTATATTAATAAGAAGAAAAAAATACAAGGTACAGACCAGTTCTGGACATGCGATAGCATTTTGTGAAAGAAACGCTGTGGAATCGAGCAGAAAAGGTTGATCATCTAGCATATAAGTATTGGTGCGTACTGCAAGGTTTTGGATCCATCACAATGATAAGAAATGTGGCTCAGTCTCGGTAAAGTTACAAGCACTGTACACAGAAAGATGTATATGGGATTACGCGATATCTATCCAGTCCAGATATATAGATATAATAATTTACCAAATATATCAATTAGCAGGCGGTTTCCCGGCGAAATTGGTATCATCGCGTATTAGTCAAAACATATCCTTTCATATGATTGGTAATAAGAGCTTCCATTTCATTTTAAAGAGGGGGGTTCCAAAACTGGTCTATACCTTTAAAGGAGGGCTACAGCATAAAAATAAAGCGTGGCATGCTTGCTTGATGCGTTAGTATATCTCTCAGTTTAACGAAAAATACTTAAAATGGAAAGAGAGATTTGTACGAAGGATAGGAAAAAGAGTAAAAACATCAAACATTCAAATACCAAAGACTTCTCTACGTAAAGATTCAAAGTCGAATAATTTCTTTACAAAAAGTCGGCCTGAGAGGGACCCAGAATGGTCTAACAAGCAGGATACTGTGGACAGAGAATAGGGGGAAATGATTTTAATAATGCGGAATCATTTATTAGCATTTCTCTCATGTGATAGAATGTAAATTCTTCCACTTTATTTTGACAAAGAGAGATATTTAAATTGATAATCCATTATATAGTAGACCAGCCAATATGTGATTTAAAAAAAAATACTTTGGAGGGCATTTGCTTCCATGATACATCTCTTTGAAATGTATATTAAAGTGACTTGGTAAAATTGTTGAAGGTAAGTTGAAGAAAAAAACTGTAATTTGTGTATAAAATGTTACCTATTATATTCCTTCTACCGTACTAACCCTGTAACATGTAAAATATTTTGAAAACAATTCTCAAATCACAAAGATATTTATGGTTTTCTTTGAAGGCGTCACTGAGCAACACCCTCTAACAGTAAATTTATAGAGCCAGTTCATCGCTTTCTGACGATAAATATCATTGACCTAAAATGTAATAAAATTGTAATAATATATTTGGGAGAATTAAGGAATTGATCAGATCAGTATTTCCCAATTTTTATCATTAATATTGGTCCGTTTTCACTCAAGCTTTCAGATTATCTTTAACTGTACATCTAGCATTGGAGTCCCTACCTTGCACCATTTACTCTCATCTGAACAATGTTACAAAGTCCCTTTAAAGAGGTTTATTTCTTCGAACTCATAAAGAAAATTATCTATCGAAAGGTCTATACAGATAATAATATATTTGATCATAATATCAAATATTATTTTTGACATTCTTTCGAATTTTGAGCCCAAAATTACATGTCTAGTACGGTAAGAAATAAATAAATGCGCGTGGCATCCACCCCTATCACGTTCCTTAGTTGTTTCGCAACAGTTTGAGCATGGACGCATTGCCTTACCCCAACAAATAACAAGGAGTCTTCTTTTGGAGCTTTTATGTGTGTTTTGGGGCTGGTCTACTAATAGTGATAAAACAGATTTTTCCATGATACCTTCCCATGGTATAAACGTCGCTTTGATCGTAAGAACTGATATACCAGATACTACTTGGATTATTATGAGGTGAGGTTTTATGATTTAAAATGATAATTATGCTATTGTTGCTTATGAAGAACAATATATCCGCGATAATGATCGCGTATATAGTGGGCATTGAATTTGCTTGATAATCATCAATGCATCTTAAACAAATCCTGGATTTAGCTCATGCTGCAATTATAATTATAAACCTTTAGGTCATACATGAATCACATGAATTTTACAAGCCAATCGCCTGTCTGATTATCAAGTTATCTATGATTGGAATTTACAAATTCAGAATTCGTTTTCCTAACGATTTTTATAACACTGCAGTCTATTTGGGAAAATGAATATGGTAAAACCGGTCACTCAGAGATATTTACCTCATTGAGGCACGTTTCATGATCATTTTGAAGCGCAATAATGTTTAGGGCTTCAATATTACACCATATCACATACACTGATAACACCAGGGCTCAAATTATTTTTTTGTCCACGGGGGCTCTTCCCCCCCCCCCCCAAAAAAAAGAGCCCCCGTGAGCCTTCTCACGGGGGCTCTTTTAGTACTGACGGGGGCTCTTTTTTATACAAATATCCATTGAATTGGTACCTATCATACTCCTCAATTATTTGCTATTTCATCATTATCATTTCAATCAGCATTTTCCCTCTTACAAATTTACAAGCTATATAGCTGTTACTGGCCTGTGTATATAATATATACGCATACAACACGGATCTTTATGATGTCTTTTACGTGACATATCTTCTTCTCCCCTTGCAAACGAGAAAGAAAACAAGGTCATGAAAAGGGATTAAGCGACAAATAATGATTGTGATTCAAATTGATGCGAATATTTGTTTGAATAAGCACTGCTATTCACCCGAATCTTCTTTGTAAAAACAACTTTTACAAATCTCAGCCATGCTTACTGAGTTGAGACGTTCCATTCAATGTAAAATACTCATTAAAGAATACACTTCTCCTAATCTAAAAGTGATCTTACAACACAGTGGCAGATTTGCATGGCTGAGATTTGTAAAAGTCGTTTTTACAAAGAAGATTCTGGTGAAAAGCATTGCTTATTCAAAAAAATCCTTGCATCAATTTGAATCACAATGATTATTTGTCGCATGATCCTTTTATTAAATAAACTTGTTTTCTTTTTTGTTTGCAGGGGGAGAAGAAGCTATGTCACGTTAAGAAATCATAAAGATCAGTTGTATTATGCGTATATACATTTATGATACCAGAACAAATGTTGATTATCAGAATATCATTTTGGAATACCTCTATTCAAATACCACATTGTCTTTAGCCCGTATCAGTATTAGTATGATCCAATATAAAGCTATTATTCTTTATTTAATTCAGTATAATGCTTTTCCTCAAAAATAGTTTTGCTATTTTTTTAGGGTTGAGACGCTAAGAAATGGTTTCAAATGTACATTACACGAACCCTGCATGAACCATTGCAAAATGATGGTGGTTCTCTCTCTCTCTCTCTTTATTTTAATCATGCATTATCAACTACATATAAAGCAGCAACCAAAACTAAGGGTTATCTGAGATAGGTGAAAGTGAGAGTTAAAAAGAAAGTCATGCTAAAACGGCGCTTCACTTCCCTCCCCCCTGAAAAAAATAAAATAGAGAAGTCCTCCTCTCCAGCATCCCCCCCCCCGCTTTAATATCACATTTTCACTTGGCAGCCCAAGGGGGCCGGGGGTGGGAGGAGGGGGTTAAACCCCCTAACCCCCCCCCTCCCGTAGATCTGACCATGTTACCATATCATTCCACGACATATTGGTCTTCCTCTTCTTCTCAATAGGGACTTTTAGATTTGCGTGGACGTGCACTGGCAGTCACATGTGACGTCCTTTTAAGCACTGGCACTGCCTTAAAAGGAGGTCACACGTTGCAGTCCACGTTCTCATCGTGCAAATCTAAAAGTCCCTAATATTGATTTACTGGTCGAGGTTCATTATTTGCTGGTCATTTGAAATCACCAGATTTCAGCGGGTTAACGCTTTCACAAAGAAAAAGTTCTCCGTGACCATGTTTCTGCCCTTGCGCGATCGCCTCCAGCTCCAGCAGACATGGCGCGGCAGCGTGCACACATACCGCTACTAAAGGCGCAGTAGGCCTATAACCACTGCTGACGGCGGCACTGCACTGCGAGCTGAATCGGTAATAATAGGCCTATACTCATAAAACGAGAAATCTTGCACGCTAATCTAAGTTCCATTTCATTGGTTTAAGGTTTGAAAATTGAAACTCAATATTGTGTTAAAGCTATAACAGAAAAGATAATCTTTATTTTATAATTCCACGGGGGCGATTTTTAATTTTGCAATCGCCCCCGTCAGCAACCTGACGGGAGCGATTATGTAGCTCACGGGGGCGAATCGCCCACCGCCCCCGTGTATTTTGAGCGCTGGATAACACGTACGGCCTTGCATCAACTGATGCATTTAAGTTGTGCACGGGTTTGGTTTTAAAATATGGTCATGACGATCCATGTTAAAAAGGAAGCTAGCTCCCTGTCCCCATTTACCTCCCGTTAGTGAAAGGGAGGGTGTGTATTTAATAAGTGTTCTCAACAACAAAAGGTTGGTTCCACCCGAAATGATCAATATTTACAAAGTGGCTGATCGTAAGAAACTAGCTTCATTCATTCATGCTCTGTAGAGGTTGTTGTAAATATGGCAGGTCTTACATGCAGCGGATTTAATCCTCTACCACTTATCTCAAACAATTCACTTCGGGCTTAAGGTTACAAGTAGATTTCAACGTTGGGTTAATGTTTATATCAAGTTTTAGGGTTAGGGTTAGATAAAGAGGTTGGTTCAGGGTTAAAGTTAACACCTCGGCTTTAAACAACGGTGTCCTGCATGGAGACCGGGGGGGGGGGGGTGTTTCACAAAACTTGATATCAATAACAAGTTACAAGCTACTGTTACAAGCTACTGAAATCATGGCATCTGATTGGCTAAGAGCAAATTTGTCATAGAAATCTAGCATTTGTTATAGATAATAAGTTTTGTGAAACGGGCCCCAGACCAAGTTGAAGAGCCCAGGCTTTGAAACCATGAAAGCGTATTAACCCGGGGAAGGTTGGGCCGGTGAATCTATTACACAACAATAGGGACTTTTAGATTTACGTGGACTGATACGTGTGACATCCATTCAAGGCAGTGCATTAAAAGGACGTCGATCGTAGCAATCCACGTTGTCGTTGTGCAAATCTAAAGTCCCTATTGTATTCCTACGACACATTGTTTTAATTTACCGCCAATACGAAGTTTGTGGTACATTATGGCGCCATTTACTTTGTGATTCAAAAATTCTCTAAAACCCATCAAAAATGACATTTGTATGGACCATTAGTGGAATGTCTTTTATCAAGACATTTTGTTTGGCGTTCATACAGCCGCCATTGTCCTCATATTTCCGGTAGTTTGTGAATGTCTTTGGAATTTACAGCCTTACAGATGGATGTTTACATCTTTTCAAGATAAACTTTTTTTCTCCAGGAATGTTATTATGCATGGAACAGCTTGCCCTTGGTCTTGATGCGCATCAGGCAGTGTTTGCATGGTGGCAAAGCTAGCTGCTTGCATGTTTTATCGCGAAATCAATAGGTAAATCCAAAATATGAAAATCCTCTTGTTGCATACAAAAGTAGAAAATATCCTTGGGTGAACAAAAACTTGCGTATTTCTTGTTAAGTCCAATTCAACTAAAAATTAAATATCAGCTCTTCAGGTAAAAATCGTTCTCCAAAAAAAAATTCTCCATTTCTGGAGTTCGAAATCAGTGGCGCGCAACAAAATCCTGCGCCCTCTCCCACTTTCCATTTTTTTCAGTGACCCAGTGTGAGGTACAATTCAAGTCACTGGACTGCATGGACTTCTATCCTAATTTATTACCAAAACATCAAGATTTTCGTCGATCGATGATATCAAGTGACAACAACAAACATAAGTGATTCTTGAAAGAAAACATCTATCTTCGTCTCCCCATCATAACCGAAATTGTCAAATTCTCGCCATCTTCAGGTATCGTTCCGTTGACAACAGTATCGGCATTCATTCGGATTCATAATGATCGGACTTCATAAAAATCCATCACTCGATAAAAAAAACTGTCTTTCCCATTATAACAAATGCGCGTGCATTGCAAATTGATTAATGGATCACCTGGTGATAACGACCTGTGTACATGCCTTACGAGTCTGCATATTGACCGCACAGAAACCGCTCTGTTTAAATATAACATAATTTTATGTTTGTTCTAGAGAATAGCAAGAAGTATGAAAATGTTAAAGTTTAATCGGTCATGTCATTATTTGTTTTAAGGTGCTTGAAATGCGGAATACAGGTGTAAATAATAAAGATGAGATTGTATTGACTGTCGACCCTCTCGGTGTTTTGAGAATACAAACGGATTAACAATGGTTACATATTAAAGTATGAACAATATAACTTTTATAACATAACATGAGCAAGAATATGATGATGAAAAGATGATATAGAAATCAATTAAACAAATAAAATCATATCATATCAAATTATGTGCATATTCGATGGGAAGGCGACAGAATAATTGTGCCGTGACTTTTCATTAGGGTACAGAGAGAGAAAATGAAAATTAATAGCTGATATCATTAATTATTCAATGAAGAGTAAAAAATATACTTACCTTCATCCTTATTTATGGGCGTTCCTTTGAAGCCATGGCGACGTGGTCCCCACCAGTGGGGCTCTTTGGGAACGTCAACGACATCGGGATGGTCAACGATCTTCGACCAGATGTCGGTTGTTCCGCACTTGAACATACCAATCACGTAGAAATACGGAAGGCAGTTGAGTTCCGCGCCGTCCCGCACCCAGCATGGATTCTTGAAGTTGTCAAGAAAGTGCTGAGGAACTTTCGCAAAGATCTGTTTTAAATTCAAATAATAAGTTTTGTTGAAAGAAGACTTTATCTTTGACTTTTGAGGCGGGAGATAGCGGGGGGGGGGGGTTGTGATGGCAGGGTATAGCCGCAACCTCCCCCTTAAGATTTTGAAATTACTATGCCCGCACGTGACACCATGAACAGGCAGGACAAGATGATCTTGCTAATATCTTAAATTCCAGCGAAATAGCGGACAAACGGTCTTATTTTGATCTTACAGAGTATTTGAAATAAGATCATTAAGGATGTTTGTATACTGCAAGGGTATATAACGAAGTTCGCGAGTCTATTTTATTCTGACACTTTTATTTCGGTCATTATTCAAAGCAAGACGACTAGAAACGATCTTTATTTTAACTCATTTTGATTTGGTGGAAGGCCATGGTTCGGAAGACACGTTACACCATATTGTGGTTTCCCTCTCTCTCTCATTAATATTAGATGTACTAAGTACAAAGTTAAAGATATTAATTAAGCTTGTTTAATTAATATTTTAGTGCATGGGGATCTGGGCAAACTATGTCTCAAACCCGCAAATTTCTCGTAATGGACAGACAAGGTCACACGCTGGCTGAGAGGTAAATATTACCAAATTATGATTTTCCTTATGATTTCTGTCAAGAATTTTGCTAAACTTGCTTAATTATATGAATAAAATGGAAAATTTAAGGTGGAAACAAACTTCGAACGAAAGGAATTGACCAACGCTAAGTCTGTTTTCTGCATGAGGAAGATAGTCTCATGTCAAGACTTCGATTACTATGACTTGAACAAAAATTGTGTACAATTACCTTTCTAACCAATGTCGTTCACTTGCGTTGTACAGAATAAAACGAGCGAAACACCTTATAGTAATACGAATGCATTTATTTTAAATGTTATGGCGTATTTTCATACACTGATACCATAAAGTTGGAATAATTTTGTTACACTGACCAATGTTGAAGAAAATTGAAGGAAAAAAAAACTTCATCCTATTGATTCGGTACCCTAATTTTTACTGAAGCCTTATTTTTGCTCAAACTGTTTTTGATTGCGGGTTTTTCTGATTTTTCTGCTTTTATTGAAAGTAAGTTTTCTTTGGAGTGGACTTGTCTTTTTATAAAGATTAACAGTGGTTTGGTTTTCATTATGAGGAAATTGATCATTACAGATTTGGAAAAATATGCACTTTGTCTGTCAAGAATATCAAAGATTTTGGCCCGACTGAGGTTTCTCGGCAAACCTAGGTTTATGTGCGTCATATATGACGCATTATGCCGCGTTTTAACAAACCTTATTAAATTGGTTTTCGATATTTGGACATTATTTGTGTTGCTCTTTCGGAAAATGAAGAAAAAATTGAGAAATTCAAAAAAACTGATTTTTTTTTTGATGACGTCACACTTCACCACTCTAATAGAGGTACAAATTAGACTTTAAATAGACAAGAAATCATTCCAATGACATGGCCTATACATCGACAATAGAACAACAACAACAAATAACTTACTCTCGAATGGCCAACAATCGGACGTTTTCGAATCGATGTGGCATTGTGACAGAAGTATAAATCATTAAACTACTGTGCAAACTCACCTCGGGTGCCCATTTGACAAGCTCTTTTGTGGCACCAGGCATCTTGGGCCATTTACAGGCGACGCCCTGACATTTTCCCTCATCATCATAAGAGAAAAGTCTCGAGTAGTTGAAGGGTCGTGCTTGCCGAAACCGGACGTTGTAATTCACCTCCAGTTTTGGTGGGGTTGTTGACTTGTTGTTAAGGTTCAATCCACTCGACAGGATGATCGTAGGTTTCTCTTCCGCCTTTCCGTCATTTCCCTCTTCTCTTCCCTGATCTTTCTCCTTTTTCTGATCTTCTGATCCCGGTCCAGGAATGTCATCATCACTATTTTTGAGTTTTGTTACACTTAAAGTCGGTGAATTACCTGTTCCTTGTTTCTGCTCATGGTCTCTAGCTCTAATTCCTGCGTTTCTCATGGTAATGGCGACAGCAACCTTAGGAGGCGGTTGCCCGGCATGAAGTGTTGTGAGACCGGACCCGCCTGGTGAAGAAGATTTAATGTAAAGAGATAGGCCAATCGCACACGCCACAAGAAAAACTCTTTGCAGCACCTAGCATGTTGAAAGTAAGAGAGAGAGAGAGAGAGAGAGGGGGGGGGGTGATTAAAGCTTTTTTTAAAACAACCTACAGAGGCGTTTTACCAATTCTCTATACAATACGCCCCAAATGCCCGGATGTAGCCTCTTGGACGTAATTTCGAGCCTGTTCCAGGACGCGACTTTAAAAAAAACCTAGCCTAGCCATCCTATCGCTGCATTTGATAGGCACATAAGAAACCTATAAGTCATGCGCTACTCATCAATATTCATAATACGTACGAACACAGAATCTGATGTGATAATTTATCATAATTATGATGAGATTTTATACACAAAATTACAAGTGCAAAGCTATGTTGACTTTAAATGAATGAGATCGCAAGAAACTCGGGAGGCTTTCCGTAAAAAAAAATGACTACCCAGGTCAAAACTTGTCCAAAATCTGGCCGATTTAATGTTGATCTGCCCCACACCGTACCAACGTACGCATATATTCAAATGCCGCGCTAGACTAGGTTAGGGCTAGGTTTGAAAAAAAATCGCTTCTGGGACATACATACTTTCTGGCCCGAATTCACAAAGGAGGTTTGTCGACAAACCTAAGTTTATGGGCGTCATGTGACGCGTTTCAGACCAAGGTTTGTCTGAACCTTGGTCTGAAACGCATCGAAACGCGTCATTATGACGCACATGAACCTAGGCTCATTTGTCGACAAACCTCCTTTGTGAATTCGGGCCTTTGTGTACGGCGGCTCAATGGGGTACACGAATTATACATACGCGCTATGTACGTACGAAAGTGTCCAATGATGATGATGATGATGGTGATGAAAATTATGATGATGATGATATATACGGGAGTTATAAAATTTAATGATAGTTGTTTATAGAAATATGGAAATATTATTGAACTTTAATTCAGCACTGGGAAAAGATTCTAAAAATGTACTCTGACAGAAATGCTTTCTTCGTATTGAATTCAAATGAAACTAGACATGATTTGTTTGAGAGAAAATGGAGCCAAAATAAGCGAGATACTGTAAAAAAAAAACTGTTAAATAGATTCACGATGTGATCAAATTTCATCTTCCATAGGCATGACATGCAACTTAAGGAATTTCTGATATGTGCGCTTTAATCGTAATTTTCACTGTGATGACGTCATCAAAATGAAAATGGTGGTAACTGAGCTTGTAGAGAATTGTTTTAGCTGCAACATATCGAAATTTGGAAGAAAATCGATCAATATTTACAGAGATACAATCAATTTTCCATAAATATGCTGACGTCATAATATGCAAATTCGTATTTTGAGTTCCAAGGTCAATATGATGATGACACGATATACTTAATGGCCAAATGAGACATGATATCACATTTCCGACTCATACTCTATCCGAATATGAAGAGAAAAATTGAGGGTTCCCGTCCATCCCGAAGAGCCATAAGGGTTTTGTATAGGCATGTTGTTGCCCATAAATGCTATGTATTACAAGAGCTCGCGCGCACGGACATTTATCTTGAACGGACCCTCATTCCCTTATTAATGGTCATTAAGAGATAAACATGGTATCAAATTGTTCGGAAAAAACATGAGGAATACTTTGTTTTAAAAAAAATCTAGGAGGAATTATTTTGCGTTCGGCCGTGACAAACGAAAACGCGCGCGTGTGCGCGTTTCTTTATGAAATGCTATTGCTAATAATGGCGTACGCGCACGTTTTTTGACCTGAAATTGACTGGACTGATATTGACCTTGATCCTGGTAAATATGAATGAGAAATGTCTTTTCGTGATCATGAGTTGATTTTCACAAAATGGCGCCTAGATTACGTCATCAGTCAAGGTCAAGGTTAAAATCCTTATTGTGCTCTTTTCATATGGCTATACATAATGTGTGCTCACAAAAAACGCTCTAACGAAAACATAAGGTAATCTGTATTATATACAACCCACCTGATAAATAAAAATAATAATAAAGGCAATTTTAACAAAAATATATGGTGGTCTGTATCAGATACAGCCCACCTGATTAAGGCATTATATGATTGTATTGATTCTGGGAGTGCATTCCATTTATCTGGACCCCCCCCCCCCCACTCAGTGTTATTTAGGGTACGCGTATGCATGTTCCCTCATTTTAAAAACACCCCCCCCCCCCTAATTCCGGTGTGTAAAGTCAAAACGGGCCGGATTTTTGTGTACTACGAGCCTGACTTTGGTTAGTGAAAAGAACCCCTTTACCGGACATTTTGGGAACACGCATGCGGTCCCCCCGACCCCGGAGTGGGGTGGGGGATGGGGTCTGGACCATGATGTGATATTGATTAATGCAGGATCTACAATTTAGGATTTATCAAAGGAACGTTTGATCAATACCGAGAAGGGTAAGAATGGATAGTATTGATTAAGAAATTCTTAAATGAATCACGAAGCAGGTTATTCGTGGATTTAGAATTCAGATCAAACTTTTTTGTGCGTTTATATCAAAGATTGTCAATGTTTTTAATTCATACAATAATGGTTTTATATGGGCTAAATAATGGTTTCTCAAATGTTTTCTTTAACGGTCTGGATGTGATTTATATGAAAGCTGTAAGGTCCGAAACATGGGATGCCATTCGTTTGAAAATCATTATGGTCGATAGTATACTTCAACTTAACCCTATGTTAACTGGGGGGGGGGGGGTCAATTTGACCCCCCCCCCCCTGTAGAAATTTCGCGACTACTCCGAAACCGCGGCAGAAATAAAATTTTCCTTTCATGACTTTTTACTTTAGAGTCTTACGCATCTTTTAAAACGATTTTTTTGAAAATCGGACCTACGGTTACAAGGTCACGTGACCTTTTGTCTTTGCATGTCAGCCCGAAAATCGCTCATTTTCGTGATTTGTGTACAAAACATATGTAAAAGACATTTTTCCTAAAAAAAAATAAAACATTGGTTATTCAGTCTTGTTTAAAGTTTAGATGTTTGTTTTGGAGTTAAAATAGTTGAATTGTAGTTATAAATGAAATAAAACAACAAAAACAATAAAATACATAAGTTAAAAAAACAATGAAATACATAAGAAATTATAAAAACAAGAGATAACATAAGGAATAACCTGGCTCTTCCAATTGTTTGTGTTGTATTATTATTCCTTATGGTCTAATAAATATATGTAGTGAAAAAGAATACGAAAACATGAATAATCTATGATTTATGGGCAGAAATGTGAATTTAATGACCTAATTTGCATAAATTACCATAAATATGCAAATGAGTGAATTTTTCAAAAATTTGAAATTACCATAGTATTCTATACACTTCACTTGACATGCATGCAAATTTTCGCGGCGATCGGCGGTGAGACGGCCGAGATCTTAGGGGGGGGGTCAAATTGACCCCCCTCCCCCCCCCCCCCCCCCAGTAAAAACCTGGTCTGAAATAGCCCAGTTAAAATAGGGTTAAGTAGAACAATGAACAATATGATTGCTGGAAAGCCGGGCACGACTCAAACATTTGGTCCGAAACATGGGATGCCATTCGTTTGAAAATCATTATGGTCGATAGTATACTTCAACTTAAGTAGAACAATGAACAATATGATTGCTGGAAGGCCGGGCACGACTCAAACATTAGCTCAATTTTGTTTCTGACAATCTTCTCCTAAATTTTACAGTAATGACTCTTGTATACTGAAAATAATGAGGCTTGTTTTAGGTCTATATCTGATCCAAAGAGAAATGTTACAGTTTAAAAAAACAGAGCCGTTAGTGCTTCCACTCGTTTAAATAGAGTTTTCTGAAAAACAACATTTCCTGGAATTAGATGGATTTTTAAATAAAATTCGACAAAACAATAAAATAAGAGGGATAAATATTACAACCAAAGTTCATAGGGTTAGCGAAGTAAAGATAACATAATTCGCAGATGATACCACATTATTTGTTAATTCAATGGAATCAGTAGATAATGTTATGAAGGAGACGATTATGAATATTTTGCAGGTCCAATAACCATTTTGATGTAAAGAATCTGTTCTTGTCAAAATTAAAAAAAGCATTCCCAAAATAGTGGTCAAGTCTCAATGAAACAATGTACATTGAGACAACTTTAGATGTTATAAACGTTGCATGTACTACAGCGAAAAGTTACTATAATTTAATGCTAGAAAGGAAAAAAGAGAAAATTGGTTTCCATTTCTGGCAAAATATTTTAGGCCTACCAGAAACATTTGTTTGGAAAGATGTATTTCAGTTCAAATTTAATAAGATAAGAAACAATAATATCAAACAATATAATTTCAAATTATTCATAGAATTTTGCCATCTAAAGACAATCTCTTTATATGGAAAATCGTACAGTTTAACGAATGTGAAATTTGTCGTGAAAAATAAACTATTGAGCTTTTTGTATTTCGTTGCAAGAAATTAAGAGTTTTCTGAATAATTATGTCAAGAATTATATATTTCATCTTTAAAACAGAAATGAAATTGATATGAAAATGTTATTGATTGGATATCAAATAGATAACAGAAAATTTACTTTACTTAATTTTTGTATAAATTATGCTCAACTGGTTATATACAAAGACTACGTAAAGCGGAATTTTGGGGAAGTACCAACCAATCCAAAGAGGTTCATAAATAATTTAATTTCATCAATAAAATGTTATTTGAAATACAAAGAAAATATAAAATACTTCGATAATGAAGAAGTTAAGAAAGTATTAGAAATGTTAAAATGATCATTTTAAGAAATTATGTTGATCTTGTATATAATTCATATGTTTAATTTTACTTGTTTTGTAAATAATATATATGTATTTTGAAATCAAACAATAAAGTCCCTATGAAGAGGTAAAGGTAGAAGAAAAAAACTTTCAAAACGCCTCTTAAGTGGATTTTGTTATTTGGATGAATGAATATTGGGAGACCAAAGACATACGACTTGTGTCACAGTACCAGATTATGAACTTTGCACGCGAGTAAAAATCTATGTAAAAGCCCTACTAACTACTAATGGTGGTGTGGACTAATTAGACCCCGTTTAAAGTGAGAAAATTGCGGGGCTAGGCCGCGGCCGAGACTACCTCCAGAGCAGGGCCAAATGCGCGGCCAGTTTGGCCTCGCATTTGGCTTTTTGCGCGTTTACAGAGCGAGGCCTGGCCCGGCCTTTTGCACACTGTAACAGGGGTCTTAGTTCGCTATCTCAAAATATCAGTTAGATTTCGAAAATCTGATATCACTAATGGAAAGAGAAACATAAAATCACCCAGTGCTCGAAGTAAGGTCTCTTTGTTTTTATCCCTTTGTGTGGATTTCCAAACTCGTACTAATTGCCATATCATTATCTTAAATTCAAACGATGAATGAATTTAATTTAAATACAAACTAGAGTGTAAAATACTGTGTCATACATAACAAATATTTTAAAAATTCTCTTTTTATTGAAAATAACAAGATACAGCATGTAAAAAGGAATATCAAGCCTGGGCTACTACCTGAATACACAGCCTAGTTCGAGGTGGAGAAAAAATACACACTATTACACACGCGCAGCAGAAAAACCAAAAAGAATTAGGATAAACATGCAATGGAAATAATGCCCCAAACCAGTATACGAAATTAAAAAATTTGCAAAATATTGAAAAAACATGATTTTTATGAGGCAGGTAATCATAGACTAATCAGTACATTTGGTGCATTATACTAACAGGGGTACAGTATTCATATTATTTAGCAGTATTGAAGTATTAATTTACTTTATACTAATCATAGAGGTAACATAATAATTCAGGTGACACCTTTTTAATTTTTTTATGACTAAATATTGATTTAATAGAATTCGGGTACGCCTATAATGTTATAAAACAAATGTAAACAAATATTATTTTTCATAACAAAAGATACATGCCAAAGGTTCCCCTTATCTTTCATCAAGATACTGATGAATGCGAATGAAACAGAGTTTCCATATCTACCATAGACAATATGAATGTGAAAATACATTTTGTCAGTTTTTGTTGTTGTTGTGTAAGTAAATCGAAATCCTGAAACTGAACTTTCAAGGAGAAAGGTCGATTCCGATCAAAGATTTATACATGTTTCAATGTATGCTATGAATTACCAACATACAGACAAAAGAAGAAAAAAGAAAGAAAAGGCATATCTTTTTTGGCAAGAAATAACAAGAAATAAAATGACTGCCTGATGATATAAAAAAAAATAGTACAACTCTTTCTAGGTTTAGAAGTTTATCTAAAACGTACCTGCTTGAAAGACTGACATAGTTTTTATTTGCATCTTAGTAATTTCTTATTCTGAAATGCTTTTTGACCACTAAGGACCTACTCTTCAGTGTGTTTGCTGTGTATGGGCATGTGTGTGTGTGTGTGTGTGTGTGTGAATGTGAGAGTATTTGTATGTTCTATATTCTGTAGCTAAGTATTTTCATCCATTATATAATCATACGTAACATTCTTTTTACTGTAAATGTATGTATTTTGTTGACTATAGGCCCCGCTCACAAGTTTAGCTTCTTAAGGGGTCCTAAAACCATTCAGTTTATGATGTAATTAAGTTAGAACATGTTGATTGATGTACTATTACCAGTCTCTTTTTTATGTAACAGATTATATCATGCTTTGTATGGTTTTGAATAAAATGAACTGAACTGAACTGACTACTCTTACACAATAATTGGCAAGTTCTTTCACTCGTTTCATATCAAGGCAAACTCTGTTCTCTTGTAACACAACTAAATTGTAATTGTTCTCTTTTGCATGAAGCTGTCCACATCGAAACGGAAAAAAATATTAAAAAAATAAAGTAACATTTCTGTACTACGTAATTTTATTGATGTGTGTCTTCTACTTTAAAATAATCGTACAACATACAAAGTAAGTCTAGAACGATGTTTTGAGAGAGTTCAAACACAGCCATGCATATATCAAAGTGTTGATGGAGAGTACAAAGAACTCGGCGATATGAACATGTCAGAGTGAAGCAAGCTTCAGTTGTCGTAAGTCTGTTGAGATTTTAACTGCACGATCAATATTATGCACGATCAATAAGAAACAACAATACTATTGCTGAAAAGAGGTAATATAAATAGAAAAGACACTAGACCTATACAAAAAACAATATCATGTACATATAGGCTACAATTCGCTTCCTCGTGTTGTCAGGCGGGGATCACAGTATTGGTAAATACACATACCCTTTGTCCCTTTAGTAGTTTACTCAGTTGACTAAACAATACATTGGTCCAACCTCAGACATCGTTGTATAACATTCCTCAGAAAGTCAAACACAAAGTAAAGAAAGAAAGTCAAAGAGTCAAATAGACACACGTTTTAAAGTCATACAAGAAAATACCTATCCAATATTCAAAACGTCAGAAATTCCCATAAACACACTTGTTATAATCAGCTTTCGCTCGAAAAAGAAAACAAGTCCAGTAGGAAAAATCTCTAAGTACAATTTAAAATGTCAAAATCCCATAGACACACGTGTTAAAAGTCAATTCTTCTCGAAATGTCGAAATCCCATGACGCCCCCTTGTCTATGCCAGAGTGACCTAGGTTGGGTTTATCAACCGAGAAGCACGTATGGCGTGTAACCAGGGAGGTGAGACTTTAAATGCCCTGGTGTAACGTAACTCGCTTAGCTGGTAAGAGGCATTTTAGAAAGGACAGGGCAAGCGTGAGTTGGTGTGCAGATCGTGGTTTAATTTGAAATACTATTCTCGTTTTGTTACAAAAACTGGGTAGACTATGACTTGATATTATATTAAAATGAAATTGGATTTTTTTTTCTTTTACCACGACATTAAGAGAAAGAGATGCGATGAAATTGGCAACAGTAGTCAAATTGACTTTTAGCCATTTATAATACCAAACGAAGAAGAAGAAGCAACTCCAGTACTGGAAGGACGAGTGTTTTGTACACTATATGCAATATTATAATGAAAAATCTAAAATGTGTATATTCAACAAACTATTTAGTATTTAAATACTACATGTCTTTCATTCCACGTTTTTTGTAAGTAATATTCATCCGAGTAGAAAGACAATTTAGCCACAAAATTGTGACGTAATAATCATGACCCACATTCTTAAAACAGACTAGTATCACAATCGTGGTAATAAAATATATGCTAGAGAAACTATTATAATGTCGTAAAATCAATTTTAATGCACTTATTCCTGGTTACATTTCTGAAATTTATATTGGTATTTACGATCGCAAGAAGATATATATTAGAATCGGATTGCTTATACCATTGAGGAATCTCAATTTCGTTTTTTTATTTCCATTATTTTATTAGCTATTTTCTGTGTATGCTATATGTTCCTATATTGTACATGTTGTATTTGTCTTGTATACCCTGCCAGTGACACAGTTGTGTATTGCATACTACTTTGTGTCATGGACCTGGGTTCAAATGTTTATACTTCTTCGTTTATTACGCTGAATAAAGATGAAACATAAATATATTTTGTGTGTTGTGAAGGATGCCAAACACACAAATGATCTAGGGAAGGACGTGTTCAAATTGTCCCTTTTCCAGTATTTAGGTGATAAAAAGAATAACAATTATACGATCGTCATAAGCGTAGAATGAATGTAATATGCAATGCTTACCTTCTTCGTAGTCCTATCTGAAATGGTCATCTTTGATTGAATATTATCCACGAGACTCAAAATTATGCATGCACGATTTTAATCACGTCGAGCTAGACTGAAACTGCGGCGTTTTATTGTAATTAATTTACACAGGTGGCATATCTGCAATGAAATAATGAAGGTTCATCCTTCCTTCAATGTCAGCTCGGAACCACTGGAAGCTATACGACTCCAAACTCACTGGCGAATATATTCTTGGCCGGTGTTCATTATAGATCGATGTAAAGCAGTGACGCATAACGTAAGGGAGAATGAGATCTGTTTTAAGATGCAAATAAGTCAGGGACAAAAGGAAAGTCCTAACTGAAGAGGAGTGCATACACTCACTGAGCTTATACATGACAATCCTGCCTGCTATGACAAACTGAAGTACCCTGGTAGCTGCTGATCTCCGATAGAGCGGAGGAAGAAGAAGAAGAAGTGCGCAGATCGATGAGGCTGGCTGTAGCTGTGCCTACATGAAGCTGTAATTACTTTCTGATCCTGCCATTCTTGATGTATATCGTTCATGGGCGTCATTCCTTACGTAATACCTATTGTTCAGGGGGGATGAATGAATAGATCATCCCCCTGAACAATAGCAGATTTACGCCCATGATATAGTTGATTGTGGACACCTTAGCATGTGAGAACAGTTTATAATTAACTCTCCTATGTTAAGATTCGCTGAGGAGCTAAGTGAATGGATAGATTATAATTTTGTGAAGAAGAGGTAGATAACTTTAATTTACAAGGATGAATAGAATAGAAGTAGAAGTAGATGCATAATTATGCTGGTAGTAATTTGAGTTATATTAATGCTAGAAAGGTGTATTAGTAAGACATACTGCTTTTTAGTAAGCCATGTATTCATAACGACAGGTTCTGTTGGTTTTCTTGTGGAATTCACATTGGTAAGCAAATGTGTAAATAACTGCATACAGATAGCAAATATTGCAAACTTCTCCAGAGATGAGAAGATTTAAACATTGGAAGATGTCATGCCCCACGTATTTGTATTGTGATTAGTTTGAGTATACGTTTCTATATATTGCTTAAGACTGATAGAATGATTATGATAGCTCGATCAATTGCAGAATTGTGTCATGTATATATGTATGTGAAAGTAATAAATAAGGAGTGGCCTTTGCTCATTGCAAAACTATTTACTACATGTATTTCATAGAGGTAAACTCAATATTGCATACACTAGCTGTATATAGAAGACAGTATATTTGTAATTATGACCCTCTAGTTGTTCTGCGCTGGAAAGCAGCGCTGTAGCAAGTAATTATTTGTGATCATAATATCAATACCCACTGTGATTTGTGTGTCTTTTAATTTTCTACAACAACTGAAGTGACCTCAGTCAAGGTCTTTTGTTTGATTTGTACATGACGAAATAAAGATTGTCCTCATACCAATTTAGTCGAACCGCATACTGCCTCGTCTGATTTAGGACTTTGAACACATCTCCAGAGTGCATGAGGCTATAGTAGTTGTTTGTTCTTAACGCGTTTACGCTGTAGCAAGTAATTATTTGTGATCATAATATCAATACCTACTGTAATTTGTGTGTCTTTTAATTTTCTACAACAACTGAAGTAACCTCATGCAGTCAAGGGTATTTTGTTTGATTTGAACATGACGAAATAAAGATTGTCCTCATACCAATAGTCGAACCGCATAAACAACAACTGCTTCGTCTGATTTAGGACTTTGAACACATATCGATCCAGAGTGCATGAGGCTAGTTGTTTGTTCTTAACATTTACGGAGTTTGTGGACCATTTCGCATTCATGTCAAGTACCGCATACATTTAAAGGTAAAGACCAGTATTGGAAACGCCCCAATTTCAAAAAAATGAAAGGGAAGCTCTTATTACCAATCATGTGAAAGAATATGTTTTGAATATTACATGATAAAAAAAAATTGACGGGAAACCGCCTACTAATTGATATATTTGGTAAATTAGTGTATCTCTCGCCTGTTGAGAGATATGAAATGCACGTGTCGCGCACGTGTGTGTAGTCCCATATACATCTTTCTGTGACGTGCTTCTAACTTTATGAAGACTTGGCCAATTAATTTCCTATCATTTTGATGATTCTAGAACCTTGCAGTACATCTATGCTAGATGATCAACCTTTTCTGATCGATTTGACAACGTTTCTTTCACAATGCAATCGCATGACCATAACTGGTCTTTAGCTTTAACCTAGCAGCCGAGATCTACATCACAACATGTTGCCCACCGTTGTACGCGTATGCATGTTTCCTCCCTTTGAAAGCACCCCACCCCCCTAAGTCCGGTGTGTAAAGTCAATACGGCCAATATACGAGCCGACTTTGTTGCGTGAAAAGTACCCCTTTTCCGGAGATTTTGGGAACATGAATGCGGTCTCTCCGTTCCTGGAGTAGGGGGGGGGGGGACATGTGGTTATTTGGTGATATCGGCAAATGCCATTGTTGGCTTCTGTTGGCTTTTAGGCCAAATTGAAAAAACATGTTTAGCGTCCTGCCTTTTTCCTTCTTCAAAATTCTACATATTTGTTTCACTTTTTTTTAAAGGGGGGAAAAAAAGAAGAAAAAAATTGGGGGAAAAAAAGCAGGCGGCCCCCGAAAAGGAAGCGGGCGGGGACGCTAAACATGATTTTTTTTTTTGGTTTTTTTGTTTGTTTAATGGCCTTACGTGTTGGTTATAATACGCACAACTCCATTTCGCTGACGATCAGCCCGTAAACACAAGAGAGAAAGACGTAATCCAATTTTGTAAAGCATATGTGATATAAGAATTGACTGGAAAGTTCACATGCTCCGAGTCAAACGCCCCCCCCCCCCCCACTCTGGGGTCGGAATGACCGCATGCGTGTTACCAAAATGTCCGGTAAAGGGGTACTTTTCGTGCGACAAAGTCCGTCCCGAGAATTGTAAAAAAAGGGGTGTATTTGACTCTTCATCCGGAGATTTCTTTAAAAAGGGGGTGTTTTTCTTTTTTACTCTCATCTCTTTGGACTCCTGAGAAATTATTCCGAATTTAGGGGGGTACATTGAGCATTTTTCCGTATTTAGGGGGGTCTCCAAAGCAGGAAAAGCCAGCGAAAAGCCCGCGAAAGGGGGATTCGGAAATGTTGGCAGTCCTCAGATAGGGGGTGCTTTCAAAAAGAGGGAACGAGCATACGCGTACCCTAAATAACACTGAGTGGGGGGGGGGGGGGGCGGGGTCAAACGCCAAAATACCGAGCGTAATAAATTACGTTTTAGCTGAAAAAGAAGCTATATAGATGATATTCTTTAATTTTATGTGAAAGACCTGAATATTTGTTCAGATCATTGCCTCGTTGTTACTCTTAAAGGTATTACAAAGTTTTGGTATGGGGTCAAGAATTTGGTTCAAATTAACATATTGGAAGCATATGCGTTCCTACAATATACATTGATCGTTGTCGCGGTTGAAATCGAGTCTAAAGTTATGAAATTCTAGATAATAAAATCTTTACGTTGTATACAGTGTAGCTCCCTCTCAAGGTCAAAATATTAATTTAGCTATGAAACAATGTTTCTTGACTAAAATCGACCGATTAGCTATTCCCGTTTGGAAATGATATATCTCAACTACATATTCTGAGATTTTCATGGTCGCAGCTACCATTGTACGGCCATAGGCGCTATTTGAAATTTATATTCAATTTTTCTCAAAAACAGAAGTGTTTTAGGGGCTAATTTTTTTAGTGCTTATAACACATCCACAGGGGCATCCAAATATATCAAAATTGTAAAGATTCACTATCCACCCAATTTCCAAAATTTCCCAAAACTTTGTATTACCTTTAAATCGAGTTACTATACGAATTAGCCTATACGAATACTAAATCATGTAGAGTTGAAAACCAGATGTTAAAACCACACCCGAAAGCCTACACTAAAAGCTTTGGGAATAACCCTCGTATTAGATTTTTTTAAAAAGGAATTAAACGAAATGGTTTAAGATCCAAAATATAAAGGATCTAAAACAATTACACTCTGAAAGGAAGAGGTCCTGCAAACAGCTACACAACCAAACATGTTGTTTGACTATTTCAAGGACCTTAGGCTTGTGAACAAAAATCCAAAACTTATAAATAGAACAAACTGAAATTAAAAACTTTACGGACGACGAATACTACAAAAAAAATTCTCATCTTTAGATGTTAAGATAACTCCAAACGAAGTTCTAATGATGTATTCACAAATTGAAAAGAAATAAAGCCCCAGTAAATAATTCAATTTTAAACGAAATGTTATAATGCTATGATACGATATTGGCAAAGATAATTAACTTAATCTTAATCAGTGGTTGTTTTCCTGAAAACTGGTCGGTAAGCTTTCTAAAACTACTCTAAAAGTGAGTCTGTATGTGACCGCTAAAACTATCGACGAATATGCCAACCCAGTATTCTTGGTAAAATTGTTTTGTTCGGTTTTAAATTAAACCAACGTTCAAGCTATGGTCACAAATCTGAGCAGCGACCGGCCGATCAGTAGCCTGCTCGGTCGCTGCTGGAATTTATGCTATGGTCACATTACCCCAAAGTAGCCTGCTCGGCGGCCGAGCGGCGAGTTTTTAACCAATTCTGCCCGCGGCTGCCCGGCCACCAAACGGCGGCCGCCCAGGCACCGCTCGTTTTTAGGGCATCGCTCGGTCGCCGCTGAAGTTTTAGCGCGGAGTTAAAATTTGGGCGGCGCCTGCTCACTTTTCACTCGCCGCCCAACATACGCTCGGTGCCTGGGCGGTCGCCGCCCGGCACCGACCTAATTGCTGGGCGATGCCTAATTTCCAGCAGCGACCGAGCAGGCTACTGATCGGTCGGTCGCTGCTCAGATTTGTGACCATAGCTTTAGGCATCGCCCAGCGTTTTTTGTAGAAGTCGAGCAGGTTGTAGAGCCCGAGCGGTGCCTGGTCGGCCGCCGCTCGGTGACCGAGCAGAATTGGTTAAAAACTCGCCGCTCGGCCGCCGAGCAGGCTACTTTTGGGATTTGTGACCATAGCATCAGTACCGTTCCTTGAAGACAATGAACTTCATAAATCCCATCAAATTGCATTCAGAGCGGGCTACAGAACGTTTGCGTAATATGTAAGAGGCTTGCAAAGAACGTATAGAAAAGCTTATATATATAGGTTTATAGATTTAAGGAAAGCCTTTTTCAATTTTTGGAGGGATGGGGAGTGGGGGGGGGGGGGGGGGGGGGGGGGGGGGGCCGGGGGGGGGGGGGGGGGGGTAAGAGGACATTTTTTAATTTTTTTTTTTGTCTCGAAATTTGAAAATTTGACATTTTTCTTCGTTCTGGGGAAGGGGGGTTATGTCACTTTTTGTGTGGTCCCAAAAAAAATCGCAACGACTTAGCCAGCCGCTGAATAAGCGGGGGGGGGGGGGGGGGGGGGGGGGGGGGGGGGGGGGGGGGGGGGGGGGGGGGGGGG